ATACTTTAATTGAGGGGGTTTATCAGTATTCTTCATACTTTAATTGAGGGTGTTTATCAGTATTATTCATACTTTAATTGAGGGGGTTTATCAGTATTCTTCATACTTTAATTGAGGGGCTTTATCAGTATTATTCATTCTTTAATTGAGGGGGTTTATCAGTATTCTTCATACTATAATTGAGGGGGTTTATCAGTATTCTTCATACTATAATTGAGTTGGGTTTATCAGTATTATTCCTACTTTAATTGAGGGGCTTTATCAGTATTATTCATTCTTTAATTGAGGGGGTTGATCAGTATTCTTCATACTATAATTGAGGGGGTTTATCAGTATTCTCCATACTATAATTGAGGGGGTTTATCAGTATTATTCCTACTCCTGGACAACAACTTGCATAACGTCAGTTGATTTCTTTAACAGAAATAAAACTAGACAAGAATTTGCGTGGCGTTAAGTAATTAACATTTTCTGGACAACAACTTTCATAACGTTAATTGATGTTTCTTTAAAAGGTCAGCTCCTGGGTGACACACGTCATCGTTTCCCAGCCAACACACGAGGACAGAAAGGCTGTTTTATCTTGCATTTTTCGAGTAGCTGTGTGCTGTTGGAATTTTGGAAACTTCAATACAGCAGTGGAGATTCTGTCAGGTTTAAAGTAATTATTTCTAAAGTCTTAAATTGATAATATAAATGTACTAAGTTATAATTAATATGTATTTTACCTGGTTATCTTTTACGTTTACTCCTGTTTCGTTCTGGTAAAACTTTAAACAAGCAAACAAAAAACACAACAAAATGAATTCAGTCCTAACTTAAGTTTTGGTCTGTTGAAACTGATAAGTAATTGATAAACAAAATGAACTTAGTTCCAACTTAACTTTTCGTCTGTTGAAACTGATAAGTAATTGATAAACAAAATGAACTCAGTTCTAACTTAAGTTTTGGTCTGTTGAAACTGATAAGTAATTGATAAACAAAATGAACTCAGTTCCAACTTAAGTTTTGGTCTGTTGAAACTGATAAGTAATTGATAAACAAAATGAAACTCAGTTCCAACTTAAGTTTTGATCTGGAAAGACTTATTGCTAGATTTCGACTAGGACTATATCATATTTAGTTAAGCCTTTCACGAACCTATTAATTTTTGTTTTTGCGATCATTGTATAAGTTAATATGCTTCATTGTAAGTTGTTAATAACCCATACTATACATAAAATGTATAGATTTAGTATGGTGTAAGTATTCTGTGGATGTATATGGTGTAACTACATCATAATATATATATATATGTACATCCAGAGAATGTTAAGTGTGCATTCGAAAGTAAGAAACCAAAATCGTGTAGAAAAAAAATTGATAAGTACGTTTATGTTTACTGATTCGATTTTTAAATCACAAAATGGTATTCGTTATCACGACAGGTCTGATAAGTTAAAACCTTTTTGGTTGTCGCTCTCTGGAAAGGACAAACTTCCCCTACTGGATTTTCTGAGCTCGTCCCTCCTAACACCTGGACCCACCCAGGAGTACAAGGAAGCTGTTGAACGAGCACTGGATATTCCACATTCCAAGGTGATTCCTTTCTTTGGAACGTTCTTGAGGGATCTGAAGACCGTTTTTAATGGCATGCCGAGTTTGTTGGTTCTGCCTAACAACGACACTCAGGAACTAGAGGTAAATCTATGTTATTAATTTTGTTTTATTGATGGGTTGATTAGATGTCAGTTTGAAGTGAAAATGAACTCGTTTTAATATACTTACAAACGTTGTAGTGGATTACAGTGGCTACAGTCGTATATATATTATGTATTGTTATGTTTGTGATGGATTACACAAGCTGTGGCTACTGTCGTATATGTATTGTTAAATTTGTAGTGGATTACACAAGCTGCGGCTACCGTCGTATATGTATTATTATGTATGTGATGGATTACACAAGCTGTGGCTACCGTCGTAAATGTATTATGTATTGTTAAATTTGTGTTGGATTACACAACCTGTGACTACTGTCGTATATGTATTATGTATTATTATATTTGTGGTGGATTACACTAGCTGTGGCTACAGTCGTATATATATTATGTATTGTTATGTTTGTGATGGATTACACAAGCTGTGGCTACTGTCGTATATATATATTATGTATTGTTATGTTTGTGGTGGATTACACAAGCTGTGGCTACAGTCGTATATGTATTATGTTTGTGATGGATTACACAAGCTGTGGCTACAGTCGTATATGTATTATGTATTGTTAAATTTGTGTTGGATTACACAACCTGTGACTACTGTTGTATATGTATTATGTATTATTATATTTGTGGTGGATTACACAAGCTGTGGCTACAGTCGTATATGTATTATGTATTGTTAAATTTGTGTTGGATTACACAAGCTGTGGCTACAATAATACATATACGACGGTAGCCACGGCTTGTGTAATCCATCACAGATATAACAATACATAATACATATACGACGGTAGCCACAGCTTGTGTAATCCATCACAAACATAACAATACATATACGACGGTAGCCAAACCTTGTGTAATCCACCATAAATATAACAATACATAATACATATACGACGGTAGCCAAACCTTGTGTAATCCACCATAAATATAACAATACTTAATACATATACGACGGTAGCCACGGCTTGTGTAATCCATCACAGATATAACAATACATAATACATATACGACGGTAGCCAAACCTTGTGTAATCCACCATAAATATAACAATACATAATATGTAATCCACCATCAATATAACAATACTTAATACATATACGACGGTAGCCAAACCTTGTGTAATCCACCATAAATATAACAATACACAAGGTTTGGCTACCGTCGTATGTGTATTATGTATTGTTATGTTTGTGATGGATTACACAAGCCGTGTCTATTGTGTAATAAGTATTATTATACTTGGGAATTTCGATTAATAATGGAGAAACAACAATTAATGTGTGTAATATTTGTTTTTAAGTTTTATTTTGAATTAATTTCGGTTAATACTATCAATTTTGAATTGTTTTTTCAATCATCTTATTTTTTTATTAGTCTTCTTTTTTCATCAGTGAAGTTAGTTATAAAGAAACATTGATCGTGTCTTTGATGTTCATACACAAAACATAAATATTGTTGATATCAAGGTGTAACATTATATTGTTTTGTCCTTCTAGTTGGTGGCTCAATTCCAAGGTGAGGATCACTTTATGAGTCGTGTTGGCGTTGGTGGCATTATTAATATGAAAAAAATAGAGCAAGTCCGCCAGGTGTTGGATGACATCCGAGCTTTCCATCAGCACGCCGAACACAGACGCAAGGAATTAATATCTAGTTCAACATCAGAGCCTAGGTAATTAAAATATTATTAGAACCTCTAAACATTGTTTTTCGTATAATTTATAATTAAAAAAAAAAACTTTGATAATTGCAACGTACAGATAAATAGAAGTGTACTGTTCCGCCATCTATTATCATTTTTTAAAAATACATTAACTGCCTATTGCTTATTCAATATTTCGCCGGCTTTCGTCGTTTGCACCCTAAAAAACTTAATTGCACATATTAGTTTACCACTGTTATGTTATATTCGTTTCTATATGAAAAATATGCTCTTAGGATCAATATGACTATAAATTATGACAAGCTTGTGATAAGATGTCGCTACTCGGATCACGAATAATTCAGCCATCTTTTTTTGTTATGATAATCTCGTGAGCAGGTGCAGTTAGCTCAATTTTTCATGAAATATGGATTCCTTCGTCACCTGATTGAGACGATGGAAAGTGTATGACATCATTTGCGGACGAAATGCGAATAGTAAAAAAAAAAAAAATCTAAACACAGTATGTCTGCGGACTTACAACGATAGAATCCAGGTTTCGATACCCGTGGTGGGCAGAGCACAGATAGCCCATTGTGTAGCTTTGTTATTAATTATAAACAAATAAACAGTATGGTTGCTTCAGATTATTACGTGCATATCTGTGTTTTTGTGGTTATTCTGTCAATTTTACAGGAAGCCCGAAAAGTCTGTAAACATAGGCACTTCAGTGAATTTTCGATTTAATCCTAAGCAAGTTTGGATTAACAGCAGTCTTAACTCGACCTTCTCGTGCTTTGACAGCGCCATAATCACCCTATACGAAACTCATGACTACAATTACTAGTAGCAGTAATATACGTATTGCCGCTTCTCTTGGCTTAGAGTATCGAACATTTAATTTGCACGTTGTTCCTAGTAGCTAAATAGTAAGTTTAGTAGGATAATATTTAATTTATTACTTTAAATGGTTGGTAGAACTTTATAAAGTTGTGTGATAGGCTTGTAAAACCGCTGGAATTGGTCGCTAGACGCAGCTCGACTTCTTTCAATGTTCTGTAATGATAACTTAAGGCTGCTAGACCTGTTTCAATGTTGTATGATAACAGTTTAAGACAGCCAGACCTGTTTCAATGTTGTATGATAACAGTTTAAGACAGCCAGACCTGTTTCAATGTTGTGTGATAACGGTTTAAGGCAGCCAGACCTGTTTCAATGTTGTGTGATAACAGTTTAAGGCAGCCAGACCTGTTTCAATGTTGTGTGATAACAGTTTAAGACAGCCAGACCTGTTTCAATGTTGTATCATAACGGTTTAAGGCAGCCAGACCTGTTTCAATATTGTGTGATAACAGTTTAAGACAGCCAGACCTGTTTCAGTGTTGTGTGATAACAGTTTAAGACAGCCAGACCTGTTTCAATGTTGTATGACAACAGTTTAAGACAGCCAGACCTGTTTCAGTGTTGTGTGATAACAGTTTAAGACAGCCAGACCTGTTTC